CCCGTGCTGGCTTACGAGACTCTAAAAAGTGCACAAAGCCAGCGCGGGAGAGAGCGAAGGCACGTGCCTCTTTGACCAGCCAATCGCAGCGCGAGGCAAAGACCGCACAAAGCCAGTGCGAGGCAGAGCGGAGCTTCCTGGTATCAGACGGCGCCAAGAGGTGGAAGGGAACGGAGTGGCCGAGTATTCCTGCGGTTATGTATGTATGCAGAAGTGGAGGGGCAGCGGAGGGCCATGGTGGGCTTGTGTATTTGCCGTATAAGACGCAGGCACTTTCCCCCCCCCGATTTTGGAGAGAAAAAGTGCGTCTTATACGGCGAAAAATACGGTATATAAATATATTTATATTAAATTTCATATGTAAGGATAGGAAGATATTATAATAAGCAACTCAACACCATCCATACTCTTTCCAGCATAAAAAACATTATATATACTGTACTGTACATAATATATTAGTAGGTAGATAGGCTTAATTTAATCAGGAAAGAAAACTAGACAAAGATTACGCTTTCTGCCTTGACAGTTCAGTTTTACCAGAAAAGTAAGGGTGCCACTAGAGTTCACTGGATGGGTCCCTTTGATGTAGAAAGAGAAGTGACCAAAGTTGACAGTTAGGATTCTCTCTTTTTATTTGCCAGTGATCCCAATGATGGACAGTACAAATAAAACCATTAAGCATTCCAAACAAATTTTTATAGAAGACATTTTTTCTTACACTGTATTTGGTTTGTAAGATATGGATATTCCTTTAGCCATCAATGAGCACTAATGCACTGTAGCTATCTCCTTAACCAATTAAAACCTTTCTGTAAGTTTGCATATATATAGCATTCATCAACAAAAGTGATATTTATGGTTTGGACCATGCTAATCATCAGTGAAATCCATGTGCATGGAAGCATATCTTACTGCATGACCTATACTACTTACAAGGGGAACCCAGAAAGTTGTTATTACTGATTTTGACAAAATTTTGTGGATGTTTAGTATTTACTCATACTTAAACTTTGCCAAAGCTGCAGGACCCACTAGGCATTCAGCGTTTTTAGAACCGTTAATACCTGTGCAGAAGTGCCATTCACGTGTTCATAGCATGATGTGTATAGTTAAGGTGCTGTGTGAAGAGTGTTAATACGCAAGTTTGAATTCAATATGAGAATTTTTAATAAGATATTGGCATACCATAGAGGCAAACTCTTATATGTGTTATGAGAATTTATTTTACATTTATTATTTAATCTTATTATTATTATTATTATTATTAAATTTGTTATTTATTGGTTTGTTTGGAAAGTTCATAGCAATTTTTAAGAGAAATAAAAGANATTCATTAATGCTTTTGAAAATATTTCTTTCTCGTGTTTTTTGAGATGCAAACAATGCGTATTTTAACATGTCACAAAAAATTGGTTGTGAATTAGATATTTTAATTGCATCTTTATGATTGGCAATTTCTTTATTGGTTTTAATAATAACAGTGATAATTAATTTATTATTCATGAATTTACAGTATTAAAATTATTAGTTGTATAATTCTGTTCTTCTCTGGGTTGAAATTCCAATTTATCATCAACCAGATTATGTAAATTAATAGCTCAAGTTGGGAAATATTCCAATAATTGTTGAAATTTAACAAAACCAATCTTGAAAAACTTAGGGGGAGAATAAAAAAGGCAAAAATGTAAGAAACAAAACAGAGCTGTAAATCAAATTCTTTTGTTACCTCACAATGTTATGAAAAGCCAAAAAAAAAAAACACACATTAAAGTTAAATTATTTATTGGTTTGTTTGGAAAGTTCATAGCAATTTTTAAGAGAAAAAAAAAACTGTTTTAAAACTAAAATACACTTTTATTCTATTATGCATGCACCATTGTTTTTAATGACATGTTGCCATCTACAGGGGAGCTTCATGCTACCCTCTTCATAGAACTTTCCAGTTTTTCCTGCAAAAAACTGATCCATGTGGTTTTTGCAAGATTCCAAAGTATCAAACTTTTTATCATGAAGGGAATTCTGCAGAGAACAAAACAAATGGTAGTCTGATGGGGCAAATCAGGTGATTCTGGGGTATTTTACCCCAACCTAGTTCCAATAATTTTTGGCGTGTTTGTAAAGACGTGTGCAATTTGGCATTATTTTGGTGAAAAACAATACCTTTTCTATTGGCCAGTTCCGGATGTTTTTCTTTAATTGTATGTACAGTTTATCCAATTGAGAACAATACTTATCAGAATCAATTGTTTGATTCTGTGGAAGCAGCTTTTAGTACAGGATTCCTTTCCAATTCTAACTGTCTGATGGAATTCATCAGACAGTGAGCATGATCTTCTTTGGATGAAGACTGACCTTTGGAGTTTTTAATAGTGGTTCATTTTTCTTACCCCATGATCATTTTCAGCTGATGATGTTATAAACAATCCACTTTTCATCATCTGTCACTAAACACTTCAGAAAAGGTTCATTTTCATTTCTTTTTTTAAGCGAATCACAAATGGAGATGCAATCCAGCAAGTTCCTTTCCGTTAATTTGTGAGTTATCCAAATGTTGTAACAATTCACATATTTGAGCTTCTTTAGACGGTGAAATACAGTACTGTTTGATTACTTCAATATGTCTGCAATCTTGAGTTGTGTAATGAGAGTTTTCATTCAATAATGCTTTGATCTGGTCCTCTTCAATAACAGGTTGTCTTCCTGAGTGGGGAGCATCTTTAAGGCTGAAATTACACACTTTAAATTTAGCAAACCACTTTCGAACAGTTGATTCTGCTACAGTACTCCCACCATAAACATCACATATTTCTTTTGCTGTTTGTATAGCATTTTTTTTTTGCCTTTACAATAAAAAAAAAAAGTAAAAAATGCACGTTGTTTGCATCCATTTTTGCAATAAGACAAATTAAATGATATTTGAATAATTGTTTTTTGTAATAGATGTGTCTCAAGGTCATTTATCGTAATATTCATTGATTTATACAATTCTAATCATTCTCTCATCAATCAGTGTCTCAACTGTTGGCTATCAAAAATCACTATGAACTTTCCAAACAACCCAATACAATTTTTATGTCCTTTTTAATTATTGAATTTTAAATTTATTACTTTTTTATAAAATATCAGGGAATTCAAAAATTATTTTATAACAAATTAAAGTTTTTTGGCAGAAAAAATATACATGCAATAAATACTTACAATTACTATTTCACAAGAATATGACAACATTTTGAATGGTATTTATCACAAAAACAGTTGAAACATAATGGTTTGGTACTTATAAATTAATTAAATAATTTAAATAATAATTTTAGAATTACTGGAAGAAAAGAATCGGCCCGAAATGGGACTCGAACCTGCACTCCTGCTTACCGTGCAGATGCATTGCCAATTACACTACCTGGACCTTTGGTCCGATCTCCTCTTCCAGCATATATAAGCTAACGATATAATTATGCTATATACGGGTAGCGTAATTGACAACGCATCTGCACAGTAAGCAGGAGTTGCAGATTCGAGTCCCGCTTTGGGCCAATTCTTTTCTTCCAGTAATTCTAAAATTATTATTTAAATTATTTAATTAATTTATAATTATTAAATTTATTAAGAGATGGCACCTAATGCTTAACTCTAATACCAAATGGTTTGGCACACCATGCACAAATAATCATTGCTACTTCATATGCACAATCTTTACATATTGTTTTAATAACATAGGCCGGAAAAAAAAAATTCATTAATGCTTTTGAAAATATTTCTTTCTCGTGTTTTTTGAGATGCAAACAATGCGTATTTTAACATGTCACAAAAAATTGGTTGTGAATTAGATATTTTAATTGCATCTTTATGATTGGCAATTTCTTTATTGGTTTTAATAATAACAGTGATAATTAATTTATTATTCATGAATTTACAGTATTAAAATTATTAGTTGTATAATTCTGTTCTTCTCTGGGTTGAAATTCCAATTTATCATCAACCAGATTATGTAAATTAATAGCTCAAGTTGGGAAATATTCCAATAATTGTTGAAATTTAACAAAACCAATCTTGAAAAACTTAGGGGGAGAATAAAAAAGGCAAAAATGTAAGAAACAAAACAGAGCTGTAAATCAAATTCTTTTGTTACCTCACAATGTTATGAAAAGCCAAAAAGAAAAAACACACATTAAAGTTAAATATTTGTAAAATTATAATTGTTTAAATGTTATATATTTAGCCATTTGAAAAATTTAGAAAACACTCAAAATTTTAAGGATTTCTTTCATTTTTTAAAATGATATTTTATATTTGAAACTTAATTTTTAAAATATCATTTATTAATATTGAAAATTAAACAATTAAATTTTTAAAACTTAAATAAAATACTAAACAAATATTATAAAATTATTACTGATTCATTGTTTTATATTTATACTTGAAAACAACAGACATAATATAAAAACTCAAAAGTAAATATTTTATTATATTTATAACAACCATAAGAGTTTCAGTTTTGAAAAATTAATGTGTATCATTTTAAACATTTATAGAACAATTCCATCATCCAAAATGGATGTGTTATGCTCATTCCAAACTCATTTAGACCTTGAAAGTTATGAATTTTACTAAACTCTCTTATAAATAAAATAGGGCCTTTTAGAAGTTTTAACATTTGGTTTATTAATGATTTTCAAGGTTTGTTTCCTTGACAATCATTACGGAGTTTGCTCCTTATCAGAATACATTAATCATTGTATTAAATAAATATCAGACAAGTACAGATAACAGATCCATAAAAATAATGATAACAATAATGTACACACATTACTATATTACTTTTTTCCAATTTACAGCTTTTCATTAATTATTCTAAAAGAAAAATTGACAATAAAACATTAAAACTTAGAAGAAAGTCCCTACTTTATTTTTATGAATACTGAAAGTCAAAAGTCTGTCAAAATTCCATCAGTTTTTCTTAAAATACAGATTAAAACTATAATGTAAAATGAAAATTTTACTCACTGCTTCTGTATGTATAGGATGGACAGCAAAAAGTATGGCAGCCAAAAAATTGGCAGGGTCTGGCAGGAATATCATGCACATTCTAAAAATTATTATTATATACTTTAATGTTGCACACTTTCAATATTTTAATATGAATTTAAATTATATTGATTCATTTTGTAACCAGTTCATTTAAAAATATATATATTTCTATATATATACATATATATATATTTTATACAATGTATATATATGCATTGTATAAAATATACAGTAGAACCTCGATTATCCGGACTAATTGGGGATGAAGGTAGTCCGGATAAGGAAAAATCCGGATAATCGAAACAAATACTTTAATTTGTCTTTTAATGATAATACATCACGTTTTCTTTTCGATGATATATCGGTAATATTAAAAGTAAATACTGTATTTTAATAGTGATTAAATTTTCAAGAAACAAACGTTCGTATTGAATTTGTACTACTACTGACCAACGCTAACAGACTAGCTATTGTTAAAAGGCCCTCGGGTGGCGCAAGAAGACGGATTTTATAAAATAAAAAGCAGTTGAAACTGCATTTTTATGAATAAAAATTTGATACACTATTTATCGTTTTATGACGAGTAAAATTTTTTCGTCGCGTTCACGGCTTTTAAGTAATGCATAAACCTTCGAGGCGCGAGGCCCTTCGGACCGCGAGGCATAGGCGGTGGCCCACGTCGTCCATGCCTTACGCCGCCCTTGGTCATAGAAATGATGTAATTTGAATATAAATTATTTATAAATACGTATGTCAAGTTATATTTTTATTACTACGTAAAATATATTTAAGAGTTTACGACCACTGTGCTGGGTGAGACGTTGTTGAAACAAAAAAAGTTATGCATTCCATCACGTACATAAACAGTGTCGTAATTCGCCAAGTGCAAATCAGCAAATTCGTAAAATATTTGTTTATTTTGAACAATCCGGATAATCGAAAATCCGGATAATGGAGGTCCGGATAATGGAGGTTCTACTGTACATTGTTCAGCATCAAGTTACGTGTATATATATACATACATAACTTGATGCTGAACAATGTATATTTTATCTAATGATTACAAAAACTAATTAAACAATCACTATAATAGATTATGAGATATACTCTTTCAGCTAAACAATTAAAAGTTAAAAGAAATATTTTAATTCCTTAGATAAATATCTGAACTTTCTGAAGAAGAAATCACAAAAAAGTGATAAATATTTAATTTCAGTATTTGTGAATAAGAATATTCAGATTCTGGATATAAAGAAAAAACAATATTCTGTACATCTAAAATATGTGAGAGATTTAATGATATGACATTGCTATACTAAATTAAACTCAAACCATGGAGAGAAAGTGTTGAAAGTAAAATATATATTAAATGTATTAAAAAATCCTAATGTGCCTTCATCTATATTAAAAAAATTTAAGCAGGCAGCATTAAAATAAAAACTGATAATGCTGTCAACACTTCCAGGCTGATAGTACTCTGTCGGCATCTCTTGCATTAATACATGTATCTTCCAACTTGCTTGTGTAAATTTCAATTTTTTCAGTATTCATTGCCAACATTGAGGAGTGCAAAGACTTAATTATGTCTGCCTTGTCCCATTTTACCAGTCTATGACATCTGAGCAAGTACAGTATTGTTGGACTCCTTTCTAACACTATACACTAGACTTATGTTCTCTAAGTGTATTTCCCAAATTTCTTGTGGTAACCCCAATATAACTCTTCTTAATTCATAATTGTATGTTTTTGCATGATATCTTATGCACTCCTGTTTTTTCTTCTTTTCTCATATTACCCTTGTCATATTTCTGTTGAAAGTGAACTTTACAGTTTTGTTAAGTCTGTAGTTCTGAGCCTTTGGTGTGCCCCAACAAAACCATTGTTGCCAGTAGCAATGAACTGAAGGCAAAGAATAGTCTTAAATTATAACCCTAGCTTCCTCAACATCCAGAAGAAAGTGGCTCACAATATTGACGTATCTCTAGTATATTGACGAAACTCAATGACTTTTGCTATACTGTGGAATGATATAACCGGGACTCAGCCAACAGGATTTACTCCTAATCAAAGATCATTTTTTCAACTTGAGCTGAGCCTCATTTCATAATTTACAACAGAGGGTCAAAGAACATAAATATGCTGCTAGAAAAAACTCAGTAACATGGCACTGGCAGCTTATGTACAGAATAACAACATACACTTTGAATGAGATCAAGTCATTAGGCCTACTTCTAACTTACACGAGTTTCTAGAAAAATTAGAAATATTAGGTTGTTTGGAAAGTAAGTTCATTTTTTTACCACTAGACAAATTAATCATATTTTTCCCACCATTTTCATTCTAAACCATATTATCTATATATATTTTGACAGCTAGCATTTTAAGGCTTATTTGTAAAAAATTTTGTTTTATTTTGTGCAATTGTTTATTTTTTGTGTCCCATCAAACGTGGAAGATCGAAAGCATCATTTTCAGCATATTTTGCTTTTTTATTACCAAAAAATCAAAATGCTGTTCAAGCAAGGAAAAAATGTATGGAGATGATGTGTTGACAGAAAGACAGTGCCAAAACTGGTTTAAAAAATTTTGTTCTGGCAATTTCAATATTGAAGATGCACCACGATCTGGATGGCCAGTTGAAGCCAATGAAAGCAAAATAAAGTCACTGATTGAAGCAAACTTCCGAATAACAACACGTGAAATCACTAAGAGATTAAATTTGTCAAATTAAACTGTTTATGATTACTTGAAACAAATTGGTTTTGTTTCAAAGCTCGATATATGGGTTCCACATGTTCTTAAAGAGAGATGCTCTCTTTGGTGGGTTTTTAAGAAAATTTTTTTTTTGGAGCTTTTACCAGACAATTTAACAATTGATTTGAAAGTGTATTGCCATTGAGTAAACAAATTGAATATCATCATCAAACAGAAAAGGTGGCCAGAATTGATCAACAAAACAGGTGTAGTGTTTTACCACGATAATGCCAAATTTCACAAAGTTTGGTAAGTCGTCAGAAACTGTTATAACATAGATGGGATGTACTATCACACCAATCATATTCGCCAGATCGAGCACACTCGGATTATTACTTGTTCTGGTCTATACAAATTTTTTTTAACTGTAAGACATTTACTTGAAATGACAATGTCAAAAATCATTTGAATCAGTTTTTTGTAAGCAACGATCAAAACTTTTATGAATGTGAAATCATGCTACTACCAGAAACGATGAGAACAGGTATTTGACCAAAATGGTTGATATATAATTCAATAAAATATTTATTTATTATAAAAATATTGTGGTTTTTTCACGGAAAAAAAACGAACTTACTTTCCAAACAACCCAATATATAAAGAACACAAAAAGTAACACTGCATCAATCAGAGATGCAGAAAACCTATAAAAACACCTGGCAGCATTTTACGAAATGTAATTTATGAACATTTTACTAAGTAAAAATTTTTGTAAACTTGAAGATGGCATATTGAATAAGTTGAAAATGTTAGTTTGTATTGAATAATCTCAGTAAATTAAACTGCTTGGTGAAGATTGTGTATTAACTAATTCCAATATATCTGGAACATTTCAATGTGCCAATATATTGGTATCGGTTACATCTCTAAATAAAATTGTAATAATTTACATCAGTGTTTTCCCATTTTTTTATATTAACACATAATAACTATTAAATGATTTGATAATCCAAAACCGTGTCGTAAGTCTTCTTTGTTGCTTAAACACTATGTAGTGTAATAAATTGATTATTTCTTGTTAAATGTGTGATTTTAGATTATCTTTAATATAAGATAAGCAGAACATCAGTATTAATATAAATATTAAACTAGGCCTGAAGCATCTTTACAAAGATCCAAAAGACATGATAACTTAATCTAAAGAATTAATTAAAATTACTGTTAAAGGTTTTAGTAATTTGCAATCAATTACTAATATTAAGAAAGAATATGTTAAATATATTACCTGTAGTACAGGATACACACTAAGGCATGAAGCATCACATTTATTAAATGATAACTAAATGGATTTAATTCATTCATTAGATAGTTAAGGCGAAATGTGAGAACACAAAGTGGTCGATATGATTTGTGACTATGTTCCTAATAAAATAAATAATTAAAATTGATCTTATAAAATTATTATTATTTATTATTATTATTATTAATAATATTTAAAATAATAAAATGTTTTTATAAAATACTATTAAACGATATAAAGAAAAAACAAT